TTGGACTTAAAGCCTCCAAATTGTAAGAATAAACTCCTGTTTGTTAAGGCCATCCCATTTGTGGTATATATTCTTGTCAAAGCAGCACTAAGTAATCAGAACACTTTCCTTGTTCTTCTTATTTCTTTTTTCAATACATGTCTTTTAGTCCTCATGTTCCTGAGCTGAGAAGCTATCTTCTCTCCCCAGCGTCCATGGCATCTTCCTTAAACCCTGCCCTCCATCAAAACAGTGAGTGGCTTCAGGAGTGGGGGATCTCATTTTCATCTTGTGGGGACTTCACATGCCTAGGATGAATGCTTCCATTAAGACCATAATGTGTGCTAAGTCCTAACGGCGCATTGTGAAGGGTGTGGTCATTGTAATAGCTGTGTTGATAAGGGTGTGAGGACCTAAACACTCTCATTCTCTGGTAAAGGAAGTACAAACTGGATGCAGTCTTTTTTGAGTGAAATTTGTAAGTATTTATCAAGATCTCTAAAAATTTGTATACATTTGACATTTATGTACATCTTTATGTTGTTTCTTTATATTTAGTTTTCCCCATTAAAGAATTAAGATCTATAGAAAAACTTTGTTGTTCTTGAATTGTGGGACCCCATGTATGCAGAGTGGAACTGCTCTACAGGGTTTTCAGGCTGTGTGACCTTTTGGAAACAGATCACCAAGCCTGTCTTCCAAGGGGCCTCTGAGTGGGTTTGAACTACAAATTTTCTGACTAGTAGTCAAGTGCTTAACTATTTGTGCCACTCAGGGACTCCAGATAAAACTAAAAAGACAGTAAAAACATCAGTGGTTCCCAAAGATTGGAGTGAGGAGGGTAATATGAATAGGTGGAGCACAGGAGATTTTAGAGTAGTGAATCTATTCTGTATGGTGCTGTGGTGGTGGATACATGACATTATGCATTTGTGGAAACCCATGGAACACAAAGAGTGAACCCTAACGTATCAATATTGGTTGATCAACTCTAACAAATGCAGCACATCTATGCAAGATGTTAATAACAGGGGACACCATGGGAGGAGAGAACTTTGGAACTCTCTGTAGTTCCTGCACAATTTTTCTGTAAACTTGAAACTGCTCTAAGATATAAAGTTTATGAGGTTTTTTTTTTTTTTTAAATTAAGTGATATCCTCTTCTTTATGGATATGCCCTAAAATAGTTCTCTTGCATCCAAGGTCAGTTTCCATTTTTTCAAACTGATTTTCTTTGCTCTTTCCAGAATGTTATAAAAATGGAATCATATACTATGCAACACTTTGAGTTGACTTCTTTAACTTAGTATAATGCATTTCAGATGTTGGGTGTTGCATATGTCAGTACTTTCTTCCTTTTTGTTACTAAGTAGGATTTCATTGTATGAATGGACCACAATTTGTTTATCAATATGCAAATTGAGGCACATTTATATTGGTTGTCATATTTTTAATTCTTTAATCATGTTGGCAGATGAATAATGCCCCGCCACCCCCCAAAAAAATATATGGAACCTGTCAATGTTACCTTATCTATACTTAAAAAGAGTCTTTGCAGATATTATTAAATTAAGGACTTGACCTGGGGAAGATTACCCTGGATTATCCAGTTGAACCTCGAATGTAATTGCAATTATCCTTAAAAGAAGGAAGTTGAGGGACATTATTTGGTTGCAGAGGATGAAGGGGTCATCACTGGGGAATCCAGGGGCTGGAAGTTGTCTCCAGCAGGCTCTGGAGCTGCCCTTTCTTCATAGCACTGTGAAGTTCAGTGGTTAGAGAAGGCTCCCAATATCTGGGCAGTGGGAGGAAAATAGGTGTTCATCCTGAATCCACAGATGTAGCTTAATCACCGATAAGCTTACCCAAGGGTCTTGGGTCCTGGGCTGGACCAGCAGAATCAGAAACTTTCATCACTGCTGTCATACAGTACCCTTATGACCCTAAGGAGGAAGAATGAAGAAATTCATAAATTGAAATGGATTCTTTCTCTCTCTTTCCCTCCCCATAACATGGCCTGCCTATTTCTCTTACTCTGTCCCGTGTTACCTGATCCTCCTCTTTCTCTTGCCTTCTCTCTCTCAGCTCCTTCCAGCCGTGTCATTTTCTTCCCCTAAACTTTCTATACTGGACTCTCCCTGTTTCCCTCCAGCCTTTCTTATTATCAGGATGGAGAAAGAGGTTCCGCCTGGTGATGGGGGCTCTGCAAAGCCCTTGGCCTCTGTCTTTATCTAAGGTATGCTTCTTTTGAGTAGGAGCAGATATCATCTGAATGAGAGGCAGAATGAGAAATGTTTCTGTTGTGTGCCATTGAGTCAATTCCAACTCATAGAAACCCTGTAGGACAGAATAGAACTACCTCATAGGGTTTCCTATGCTGTAAATCTTTATGGGAGCAGATTGTCAGATCTTTTCTCTTATAGAACTGCTGGGTAGGTTCAAATCCCCAACCTTTCAATTAGCAGCTGAGTGCTTAATCATTGCACCACTATTTAAATTAGACCCACTTATCAATTTTTCCCCCAAGGAGCCCTAACAACAACAAGAATATCATTTTTCCTACCTCTGTAGTCTCTGACTCCTTCTTCCTGACCATGTTCCCTGGGACAGAAGCCTCCAGCTATGCTGATACCCCCTCAAGCCAAATCCAGATCCCACTCACCCAGCACCTGCAGTTCAAGAACATAGCAAAGCTTGTATTACCAGGCCCTTGGCCACAAGAAGTCCACATAGCATGGGGACCAGGAGACTGCAGGCAGCCTCACTGCAGGAGACAGGAGCAGTTGATTGCCTGGAAGAGGAAGGGAGGGTGGCCTTGGCTGGGATGTCCACTGCTCCTGTGTTGGGTTCCCCCCACGGCAGGGCTCCCCCAACCCAAGTCAGGGATAACGCCACC